CAAAGTTGGGTGGCTCACATCTGTAATCCTAGGTAATTAGGAACCTGAGATTTGAAGATGCGGTTCAAAGACAGCCCTGGCAGGAATGTCTGTGAGTCTCTTATCACCAATTAACCCCTAGAAACCTGCAAGAGATGCTGTGGCTCAAAGTGTAAAAAAGCTGAGAGACAAAGCCCTCAGTTCAAGCCTGAGTTCAAGCCCCATAACCAACAACAAACAAACAAAAAATAAAAGTATAAGGACAGAGAAAGCTTTAGAGCATGTGTGGACTGAATACAGACATTAAAAAAATAGAAAGGAGAACAGAACCGTAATTAGAGCACCAGAGAAAGTCAGGCTATAGACACTAATATGGAGATTAAAGGGAATTAATTGGATGAAGTATAAGTGATTAAAATAACATGATCAGAATATCAGATTTGGAACCAGATTACAAAACACTTTCAGTAGCAAGATAAGAAATTTGAACCTTATCTGCAAAGACTAAAATAAGAGGAATAAGAGGAAATAGAATTAACAGGTTTAAATTAAGAATATTAGTCTCATATAATAATCAAAATACAGAATAAAGAAAAGGCAGTGTTGGGTGAACTTAGAAAAGCTACTGGATTTAACTACAGAAATACTTTATGAGATAGGAATATAAACTCACATCATCCAAGTGGTAGTAGAGCTAAATCATATTTAAGAAAAATTGCATTTACATTTCATCTATATCATGAACTCAACCACACGCACTCAGCTAAAGACAGAGAGACAGACAGAGACAGACAGAAAGACAAACAAGGACAGACAGACACACACACACACATAGATTTTATTGAACCTAATACTATTCCTTTGTAAACATGAGAAAGGAGCTAGGAATCTATACACTTTTAAGTCAGTCCAATTCCAATGTGTCTTGCACAGCATGCTCATCACAATTCTTAAGACAAAGAAAGCATTTTTTTCATATAACATGGTTCTTACTCTTAAGTAAGTCACTTTATCGAGGGTTCAAACGAAGAAAAGCACTGGAGGAAAAACTGGCTGTGTTACACTTAAAGACAATACTACACTGTAATTTATGTGCTATTATAGAAACTGTCAAAAGTAATTTTGGCACAATTTGTGCTTCACATACAGACTTAGCACCTATTTTCTGCTTAATGCCTTTTTTCTTTCTCATCTCAATCATGTTAAGCACACTGGAGGTAGCTACAGATGTTGTCCAAAACAAATTATTTGAAGACAGAAAATCATCTAAAAATGGTGAACATTGCAGGAAGCTAAAATCAGAAAAATAAAAGCAAAATCCCTGAACAATGGTAAATGTTACAGAAAAGGTTGGAGAAGAGGTGCAAGACAATTCTCTTGTGTTTAACTTATATCTGAAAGTGATCACTGGGAAGCTGGAAAGTATTTAAGAGCATTTGTGAGTTGGTCTTTTTGCTTACCTACAGAACTATTAATATCTCCTTTTTTTTTTTTTTTTTTGCCATCGTAGGGCCTGAACTCTGGTCCTGGACGCTGTCCCTCAGCTCTTCAGCTCAAGGCTAGAGCTCTACCATTTTAGCCATAGCGCCTTTTTCTGCTTATGAAGTGCTGAGGAATTGAACCCAGGGCCTCACGCATGCAAGGCAAGCACTCTACCACTGAGCCACCTTCCCAGGCTAGTATCTCCTTTCCATGAATCAATTTTCCTAATAATATTGTAGAATTATACAAATTCTACAAATATAATTATCAAAATTTAATATCTAACTAATACCTTCCTAAAACTAGACTAATGCAATTTAAGGGATGTATTTTGTTTTTACTTTTAATGTACAAGCTTATGCTTGCTTTGCACAAATGATTAAGTATCTCCAAGTAATGCATTTACTTATTTAGCCAATACCTGATGAGTATCTCTTATGTGCCAGGCACTGTGGTAGAAGCTGGGAATAAAAGGTGAAATAAACACCATAATGAGGGCTGGAGGTACAGTATGCCTAGTATGTTCAAGGCCTTGGTTGGATCCCAAGTGCCACAAAAACTAAGAGATGAAAGATGAAAACAACAATAAAAATCCTTGTTTCCTTCAAGACATCTTCAAACTTCTGAGAGAGTTATCAAACTATAATTAGGCTAAGGTGAAAATGAACTATGCTTATTGGTGGAGATGGAAGGGAAAAACTAGGAGAGAGCACAAAGAGGGGTGACATTTTCTTGAAAGAAATGTACTCTTTACCTGACTTATGTGACTGTAACCCCTAAGTACATCACCTTTATAGTAACAATAAATACACTTTTTAAAAAACTATAATTATGACAATCATGTTATATAAGAAGAATATGCAAAAGATACTAAAGGAGTCAAGAAATGCTTTTACAAGAGCCAGTAATGACATCTGAATAAAATGCATGTAAAAATTAAAGAAGTGCTCCTCAAATGTGGTTGTATGTCAAAACTGAAGACATCTAAATCTCCACATGAGAATGAGAAATTCTGCCACAAGCAGTTTAGAATCAAGAGCAGTCACCTAGCTGTCAGTATGGTCATTTCATCATGGAGCATAACTGGTCATGGCAGTTAATATAAAATATAAACAAAATGCCAGAGAAAGTGAAAAGAAAGGACATAACTACGGACATTCATAAAGGACCTGCAAATGGTAAACTTCCAAAATAAATGACATTCATCAATTTGTCATTCGTCCAATGTTTTAGTAACCGCTTTGTGATATGAATAAATTCTCTAGTGAGTAATTTAAGGAACTTAAATGCACATACTTTGCATGCAAGACAAAGATAAATAATCCTTTAAAAAAACAAGCAAGCAAGCTGGATGCCAGTGGCTCAAGCCTGTAATCCTAACCACTCAGGAGGCTGAGATCTGAGGATCGTGGTTCAAAGCCAGCCCAAGGCAAGAAAGTCCATGAGATTCTTACCTTACAATAACTACTAAAAAGACAGAAATGGAGCTGTGGCTCTAATGGTAGAGCACTAGCCCTGAGCAAAAAATGCTCAGGGATAGTGCCCAGGCCCAAGGACTAGCACAAAATAACAAGCCAACAAACAAAAACAGAACAGCAGTCACAATTTTTGTAATATGTAGTGACTAATGATTTGCCTCAAGATCATTTCTGGGAATAGAAACAAGTTATATAATAATATTTTAGCTGAAAATGCTCCACATTGTACAAAATAAATTTAACATATTTTTGAAATTAAAGTTTTAAAAATGTCCTTAGTGATTCTAAATTCTTCTAACAACTTTCTGACCAAAGCTTACCTATAATTATATTTTTATATTCAATTGCTCATAGGATCTAAATTACAAAGTCATCAACAACAGGAACATTTACCATAATAAGCAAAAAGCAAAATAATTTTTCAATTGATTTCATTAAATAGTAAAGGGTCTAAATCACCGAGTATTTAAAGCCCCTTCTCCAGAACAGATTTCCTAAGTATAGATGACCAATCCTTTGCAAAACAAATAAGCCTTCAAAGAAAATTCTTCAGAAAACTAGCAATAAGTTTCTTACATGTGAAATAATGCACCTTCTACTTGCCCTATTGCTATCATCTACTTATAAAGGGATCCTCCAAATATTACTTAAGTCATTGAAATGTATCCTAATGATCAACTCATATAACAGAAAGATTATTTACAAAACTCTACTGCCAAACCATACACAGTGATTCTCTAGAAGAGAACACAGTGAAAAAAAGCCACATCAGTTAAAAACCAAATAATTAACCATAGACTTATTTTTTTTAAGTTGACAAATAACAAGATATATACTTTTATAATTGATACATCAAAGCAATCTCCTCAGATTTACTTAATTTTAAGATGGTAACATCTAATGGCCTTAATGATGAGATATAGGGATTTAAAAATTATAATTTTCAAAAAAATTATAGCTTTCAGGCTAAAATGGTCATTTATACAACGGGAAATATAACTTTCCTTGCCTGACTTTCTGTTCCTGCAGTATTTCATTTATGTCTCTATTTATTTTTGAAACAAAAATCTGAATCCTACAACGAAGGTACTATTAGCACCATGAGAAAGCAGACTTAGTATGCTACTGTGACTTAACCAGTTGCAACAAGGGCCAATATTCAAACTCGATCTCGCTATAAAGCTCTTTCTACAGTACCTCATGAGTACTGTAGAATAAATCAAACTAAGTAACCAAACTGACTACATTTTTTTGCTCTCCTGCTTTGGTAGCAGCTAACATAAATCTACCAGAGATAAGCCAAATGGAGAAGATGATATGTATGAAGATCTAGAGATGTTGCCTAGTATCTGAATGGTTCCCTACAAATAAGAAATTGCCCACTTTATGAATCTTCACAGAACAGAGTCCATTTCCCTATACAGATGCACAAGTTTTCATTCAGTCAGTTCGCTGGAGCTTGAACATGATCACAAATCTAGAATCTGCAAGATAATATTCCCAACAAGGACTGTAAGAGGGCTAGACAGTAAGAACTTGGGACAACAGGCCTGGATTTGGGCAGCAGAGGCAGTAGCAACATTAAGTATCAGAAGGTAACAGTCGCAACTATGAAGAGGCTATGATTAGCCTTTAGCAATGTGTGACAATACTATTGGCCCACCAACTGCTTTTACATCAACATTTTTAGCTATGGTTTCTGCTATGAAGTCTTCCTTGCTCCTATTTAAGGTTACAGTCTTCCCAGGAATTCAGCAAACTAATCAATATGCTTTGGATAGGTATCTTTTTTGCTTGAATCTGTTAGAATTTCCCTGTTACCTATAAAAACCCTAATGCATTTAATGAATTAGTTGTTATAATTTGCCAACTCACTTAATTTCAGTATACTAGGTTTTTTACATAACTTGCCATTATGATTTAAATACTATCTACTTTATATAAAAATGATATACGCTAAATACAAAAATCAAGGATTTTTGCCTCTTTCAAAAACAGCATAAATTATCTAAAGGTCACCTTCACTGAGGTTCAAAATTCAACTTAATTATGATTTCTTACCTGTCAGGAATACCTAACCTCTTGACACTTCTATAAACAGAGAGAGTGTTTGCAACGTGTCGATAATTAAACCAGAATCGAGATGTACACACCTAAAGCATTAAAACAAAAAATATGATTTGAGTCAAATAAGGCACAGATTTTTAAAAAATCATTTTTCCTGACATTTGGTACAAGACACGTCTGAATGAAGAGTTTCAGGCTTAGAACATAAATGTCAATAAAATCCATCTCTCTGAAGAAAGGCCTTTCATAAGACAAATAAGACCAGGTGAAAGAAAACAAATCTTTGGGCAACTTAGTAAAATACTAATCCAATTTACTCTCAACTTCTGTGATTCTGTAATACTTCTATTTCTAAAAGACTAAATTTTTAAGAAACAAAGAAAATGGTCATAATCACATAATAGAAAAGAAAATTAACAATCTTGGGTAATGTAATATTTGTTTCTTTATTGCTTCCTTATTTATCAGATATGTAAAACACAGACCAAAATACAACATACAAAAGTTTTACAATGCACATACAAAAAATGTGCATTATGAAGCTGCTGAACTGAAAAAAAGCTGAATACAATTCAACCAAATTTTACACTTAAAAATATTACTTAACCCAGGCACCAATGGCTCACACTAGAAATCATAGGTACTCAAGAGGCTGAGATCTGAGGATTATGATTCAAAGCTAGCATGGGCAGGAAACTCTAAGAGACTCTTATCTCCAATTAAGCACCAAAAAAGCCAGAAGTGGAGCTGTGGCTCAAGTGGTAAAGTGTGACCCTTGAACACAAAAGCTTAGGGACAACACCCATACCCTGAGTTCCAATCAAGACCAGCACCCAAAAAAAAGTTATTTAAAATGATATAAAATGATATATAGGAAAAATCTAACTCTATGCCTCAAAAATCTAGTTTTCTTGGGAATCCATTCTATAGGAAATAATCACAGTTTAGGGTCAGTTGTAGTAAGCACATTCCTGCTACAAAATGAGACAGTCATGTTATACTATTCTATTTCATTATGTTTGATACAAATCTGCATAGCAACTATAATCATTACTTCTAGCAACCTGTAGACAATTACAAGCTTTTATGAAACAATCCTCAATAAATTATAGGGACTCCAATATCCAATCTGCATTTGGTCTTAGTGAAGTATTTTGTTTGTTCAGCACTTCATTTAAATTCTTAGAATTCACCAGCCTCCCAGTTCTCTAGCTTTCTCAGCATGAGTTAATGATTTTGGTAAGTTGCACATTCTTTTGTTCCTTTTTCACAAAAATCACACTCATTTCCCACCTTCTAAAACTATTTCCTTACTCTTTCTTATGGCTGACTTTTGCTATTATTTAAATGGAATTTATGTATTGGAAACTCAGTCCCCAATTTTACGTTTTATGTTGATGTTAGTTGGGAAATTAACATTTAGATAGTATCATCAGGTTGGGACCAAGATGGCATCAGTGGCTTCATAAGAAAGAGACCTAAGCCAGTAAATCTGCTCTCTCACTGCATAATGTCCTTTGTCATACCACGATGCAGCAAGAAGGCCAGGATCAAATGCAGAGAAAATACTGAGACCATGTTCTTTGGCTTCCCAGCCTCCAGAAATGGGAGGCAATTAAACCTCTTTTCTTTGTATAGTCTCAGATTTTATGTGTGTGCATATCAATCCTGTTGCTTGAACTCTGGGCCTGGGCATTGTCCCTGAGCTTTTGTGGTCAAGGCTAGCATTCTACCACCTGAGCCACAGCTCCAGTTCCAGCTTTTTTTGTGGTTAAGAGTCTCACAGACTTTCCTGCTCAGGCTGGCTCCAAACCATGACCCTCAGATCTTAGCCTCCTGAATACCTAGGACACAGGAGTGAGCAACTGGCTTCTGGCTTTTAGATATATTTTATAACAACAATGATAATCCTTTATGTTTCTAAATTAAATGAAACCCTAGAGGTATAAAACTATTATCAAAATATAAGAAAGGTAAAGTTGATTACATGTATTTTCTTTGAGGAATGAAAAATATAAAATTCTGAATCAAGATTAAATTAAAGATATTAATTCACACCAAGGGAGAAAATGACAAAAAAGTCTAATAACCAAATTAAAACAAAATTTAAACTGTTGCCCAGCAGTCAAAAGTTAATGAAACCCAATTGACTTAGATTTAGAAGCAAGAGCACATTCTTTCTGTGGGGCACTCATGTTCTAGGACTGCATATTTTAATGCCTAGGAAATTTTCTTAAAGAGAAAATCACAGATGTGATCAAACAAAATAAAAATCAAAAGAGTCCCAAAATAGATTAAGGTTTTGATATTAGTACATATGATTCCAGAATACAAAAGCATTTATCATCAGATGCTAGTGGCTTATACCCATAATCCTAGCTATTCAGAAAGCAGAGATTTGAAGACCACAATTCAAAACTATCCTAGGCAAAACAAATAGTTCATTAGATTCTTCAATTAAACGCTAACACAAAAAGCCAGGAGTAGAAATGGAGCATTAGTCTTGAGCAAATTGCTAAGGGAAAGTACCCAGGCCTTGAGTTCAAGCCCCATTACCAGAACAAAATAAATAAAATACAATCATTTATCTCATTTATCTAAAGAGAAAGATTCATGAATTGTTGACTCTCTAATGTGAGATTTAAGGACATTTTCCATCTTTTTTTTAAATTTTCTTCAAGTAGTTATATTGAAGAGTTCAATAAAATAGTGTAACTACAATGCATCTATCAATACCTTTTTTAAAATTAAAGTAAAATTCACATAACCTTGGTCTATCTTCTTTTAAGCTTTTCTATAGAAAATATGAATTTTCTACAATTACTATATATTACTTATGTAACAATTATAAAAGTAAAATAGTATTAGCATATCTAAAAATTAATACTACAGACAAGAAGTATAATTACTCATTTCCAGCATTAAAATAATTAAAATAATTCTGTTATAGAATGTCTCCTTTAATAGGCTATCTACTATAATAGGCTCTATATTATTTACAGATCATTACCTTTCAGATAAATCAAGTCAAATAAATTTGGTCAATTCAATATGTGGTCAAAGCTAAATAAAGAGTTTCTATAAAAAGATAAACTTTCAAAAAATGGATTCATACAATGGTTTTTGAGACACATGTCCAATGTGAAAATCAAGATACACCTTTATGGAATATACTTACCAAAACAGCCCAGTTGTTTGTATGGCCACTTTTAAAGAATTGTCCTACTTCATTCTATCAATCAAATAAAAGCAAAATCATTAAGAGAAAAAACCCACAATTTCCTAGAATAGAGAACAATTTAAGACTCATAGTGCTTTTATTTCAGTTGCATTAATAATCATTTATATTATGAAGATTCCTTATTTGACCTCATAAACAAAATCATCAATACTATCTTTTGGGGGGAAGCCATCATGTTTGAGTTACTAGCTGGGTAATAAAGGCCTAGTTTAACTTAAACATACTAAATAGGGGGACCTGTACTAGAAAAAAAAAAAGACCTGTACTAGAAATGTAAAGGGCTAGAGTTCAGTCTTGCCTGACCCAGAGACAGATTAAATTTTATATAATGCTTGACTATTAAGCTGAAAGAAGACTTAGTAATAAAGAGTGCTTGCCTAGCCTATGTAGGCGCTGATTAGAACCCCCAACACTGGAAAAGTAAAAGGGAAGGAGGTAAGAAAAGAGGAGGGAAGAAAAGGAAAAGAAATGGAAACAAAATTTTAAAAGTAAGTATTATATAAAGACTATACTAGAAAAGCTGTAAATTAACTTTTTCTGCAATGAAAATGTGAGATTATTTTTGACACGGAATTCACCAATTAATATTTCACTTTTGGTAATATAATAAAGATAATGCTTATCCCCAAGAGTTTAAGAGACAACATAATCTTGTTTCTTCAACCAAAACAATCACTCCTTGAATTTTTTAGTCAGTCATTCAATAATCACTGCTTGTGTTTCTATAAAATCTGCATTTATGCTAACACAGTCTTTAATACTATTCTGACCACATTAAATAATAATGATCAGAAAGACATGCTGAAGCATTTATAAAAACACAGCAGGAGCCAGATGCTACTGGTTCATGCCTGTAAGCCTACCTACTAAGAAGTCTGAGATCTGAGGATAGGTGGTTGGAAGTCAGCCTAGGCAGGAAAGTACATGTGACTCTTATTTCCAATATACTCAGAAAAGGACAGAAGTGGTGCTATGGTTCAAGTGGTACAGCACTAGCCTTGAACAAGAAAAGCTCATGGACAGCTCCCAGGCTGAGTTTAAGCCCCAGGATCCAAATACACACACACACACACACACACACACACTCTCTCTCTCTCTCTCTCTCTCTCTCTCTCTCTCTCTCTCTCTCTCTCTCTATCTGCCAGGTTTTGTTTGGGGTTCTGTTTTGTTTTCTTCCTGGAGGATTGTTTGTCTTTCATGGTCTTTCAATATTTTATTCAAAGATAGTAATATCTTCCTCATATGCTTCTAACTTTCTTGAAACTATGACATTTATTTCTTGAAGTTATAATTTACTTTTAATTTTTATTCTACACATAGAAATTCATATCTTTCCTGTTAAATCTTTAATCAACATCTATTTTTACTATGTCTTGAGTGCTGACTACCATGTACCATTTCACTAACCTGTTACAGAAAGTTTAGTTTCTATTTCCCATTTCAAGGAATTAAAACATCATCCAACAATATTTATATACTTAATAAACATGATTTTAAATACATTTAAAAAATAATGGAACTAAACCACACTGATCTTAAAGCTGCCCCAAACAGTATCACTAGAACAGTCCAAAAGCCTGACTCTATTACTTAGCATTAGAAAGCTACAAACGTGGGCCTCCATGTCCCTATCTTTATAAATGGTACTAATATGTGATACAACGTAGCAATAGCAATGGCCTAACAAATGCTAGCTCTGAATTTTCTGGCTACCAGGAAAGTTTCAGGAAGAATAAAATGTCCTGCTGAGATATGTGCAGGAGGAATATAAATTTTCTCCCCCTCCACACTCTTCTAGTAGCTGCCTCAATGCTGAAGAAAACAACAACATGCTATTGTGGATAAAATGTCAGTTTGGAAATTGGAGACCTCAACTAAAATCCAGCTGGCTATCAGAGTTGAAATATGTCATTTGGTGCTTTGGACTTTTCTCCTGTAGAAAACGAGACTTGACCCAAATAATCTCTGGAGGACTTTCAGCCCCCAAAATTCTGACTTCCATCAGGGCTTTTGCAAAAAATTGGATGTAATTAATGTAAAGTTATTCATTGCAATATTGAGGCACCTCTTCTGTGCCAGGTTTATGAGATGTACAATGATATGAAAATTGCTAAAAAGCATACTGTGTCACAAAAATTACAAGGTTTAATACAGATAACCACAAAACTACATATCATTACTATGTAATATGTATTGGACATCATGGGACAGTCACTGTTCTACTCCGAGTACTCTGAATACTATGACAGGAAAAAGTAAGCAGTTAAATGCTAAGGTTCAAACCTGAGTTAATACAAATATTTCTGCCAACTTTATAATTGTACAGTTCTGTATCTTAAATGATTTTGAAGTTATTAGTTTTAAAAAAGATCATTTAGCTTATTCATTTAGTAACTGATGTATAATAAATGCTATCTTCAATAAGAGTTGCTTTTTCAACTATTTTATTCAAATTACCTATGGCAATTGCCAGCAATTTACTTATTTGCCATAAATTCTGCATTGTGTTTATATTTTTTGAAATCTTTCAAAGATAAGTTGGGTGTCCAAAGAAAACAATTCACTATAATGCTTGATGTGACCCACTTTTGTCAATAGGTTTATACTGACACAATATTTTCTTGTAAGAGATTAAGGGTTTAATTTTTTTTTTTTAAGTAATCATAGACAGGCACCAGTGGCTCATGCCTGTAATCCTATCTACTCAGGAGGCTGAGATCTGAGGATTGTGGTTCAAAGCCAGCCCAGGCAGGGAAGTCCGTTAGACTCTTATCTCCAATAAACCACCAGAAAACCAGAAGTGGCACTGTGGCTCAAGTGGTAGAGCGCTTGCCTTGAGCTGAAAAGCTGAGGGACAGCACCCAAGCCGAGTAGAAGCCCCATGACCGCCAAAATAAAAATAAATTAAAAAAGTAATCACAGTACTTGTCTTCAAAAATCTCTTATATAGACCCAAATTAGCAAATAAGTGCAAACAATAAACCCCATAAAGCCACAGTATTTCTTTAATGTATAATACAGGTATCTGACTTAGCCAGACAAAGTTTCCCTGAAAAAAATGACATTTGAATTAAAATCTAAGAGATGAAGACAAATAATTCCAAACAGAAGAAATGTGGGACAAAGGAAGCAGTGAACTTAAAGGTTTGATAAACTGATAGAAGTCTAACATTACTAGACATCTGAAAAGCAGGGTCAGCAAGAGAAGAATCAGGATACAGCATGACTTTCCTGGGTCATAATAAAGAATTTACTATTCTTTTAAATTTTTTCCAATTTTATTGTAAAGATGCTGTATAGAAGAGTTACAGTACATGAGAAAGGTAATGAGCACATTCCCTGTCGAGCATCGTTACCCCCTCCTTTGTTGTTCTCCCATGATCCCTTCCCTCCCACAACTCCCTCATCCTGGCCCAAAGAAAAACAAAGTTGTAGAGTGGCACTGTGGCTCAAGTAGTAGAGCCCTCACCTTGAGCTCAGGGACAGCGCCCAAGCCCAGAGTTCAAGCCCCATTACTGACCAAAAAAAAAAAAAAAAGGCAAGCATTGTTCTCTATCTTAAGGTACATTTGAGTGATCTACATTTTTAAGTCCCTCTGGCTGCAGACTGGAGCACAGACTGAACTGTACCCTAGTGAGAGATAGCTGGGTAACAGTACAACTACATAGGATATTATAGATGAGTACAAGTTAAATGTACACCTTTCAACAATAAAGGCAGAGGAAAGGAGTAGGGAAGAGTTCTACAAAAGTTATGCTTGTGCTGCTTAAAATGGACAGAAGAAATTGAATATATAAAACCTGCGAATGTGATAAAGCACAGCATGAAACTACAAAAAATGCTAATGATAGCCATGTGCTGGTGGCTCACACCTGTAATGCTAGCTACTCAGGAAGCTGAGATCTGAGGATAGTGGTACAAAGCCATCATGAGCAAGAAAATCCGTGACTCTTATCTCCAATAAACCACCAGAAAACCGGAAGTGGTGCTGTGGCTCGAGTGGGTATACGGCTTGCCTTGAGCTGAAGAGCTGAAGGACAGAGCCCAGGCCCAGAGTTCAAACCCCAAGACCGACAAAAAAAAAAAAGCTAATGGTATCCAAAATGAAGTATGGAAGAAAATTCAGTACAATAAAGGAATAAAACAGAGAACTTTGTTAACAATATAGACACAGACAGACAGACAATAGAGATAGAGATATATATCAACTGACAGAGTGTGTGTCCCAAAAGAATGGGGTCTGTTGTGGTCTAAGATCGAGTTACTGGAGGTAGGAAGTCAACATGGGTCCCTGTATTGGAAAAGTAAGCAGGGATGAGATCCATAATTAGTCTGTAAGCAACAGAGAAACGCTAATAAGACTCAATCAGAATAATCGAATCAGGCTTACAATTTACAAAGACTAGCATTAAAATAAAGGAGAATGGATTTCTAGAGGAGGTAACATTTCCGTGGGAATGATCGGAGACTAGGATGAACCAGTGAAGCTGGATTAGTTAAAAATGAAAAACAGTTTAAAACACAGAATTTAATGACGAGAAATAGTTTATTTTAAAAGCTCGCAGGTTTCTAGCTTACGACCACACTTCTGGGTTAGAAAGTAGAGGATGCAAGAGTTCCTTACAAACTTCAGGCAATGCTTTGCCGATTATCTGGGTCTCCTTTTCCAGCTCGATCTGCAGGCCTGAACATGCTCCAGAACTAAAACTATTGGGCTGAGGCATCACCTCCGCGCTGGGCTCGGCAAAGCATTACAGCCAAGGACCAGAAGGTCCAGTGGCCACAAGGCCAGTCGTGGGGAGGAGGAGGAGGCCAGGCCGGGGTCCAAGCTAAAACACGGCGCCCAGCTGGCTCCGACCAGCACAGCGTGGACCGGGCCGGGACGTGGGGGCTGCGTCTCGGTGCCGACATGCCACCTGCTCGCAACACTTCACCTGCTAGGCTCAGCTCCTCCGAGGACGTTTTACCAGGCTGGACCTGGCTGACAAGGTCCCGTCCGCGCCCGGGGGCTGCGCTCCCCTCCCCGGCCCGGCCCGGGTCCGGTCAAAGAACCCGGGAGGCTGCGCTCAGCTGCGGGGCATCAGCAATCGGCCAGGACACAGCCGTCCTTCCAGGCCTCGGACGCTTAAAAAACAACACAAACCACCCTGACTCCTACCTCGATCTGACTAGCGGCCCAGCTAGCGAAAGACAAGAGCGACAGCGCGGCCAGGGCGGCCGCAGGAGGGCTGCGCGAGCAGGGCGCGGCCATGTTTGCCGGCTTCGGATTTCGCGTACCTGCAAGGGGCGGGGCAGGGAGGGGACGGGTGCCGTAAAGCAGAGCGGCGAGCGACGTGCGTTTCGCCTTTTTTGCGACGCCCACCGCCTAGAGCCCGTCCGCTTTCCGCACCGGTGCTTCTGGTGGAATTCGGAGCGGAGACTGGACCGGCGGAGACTGGACCGTTGGCTGTGTTGATCTGTGGATGTTTTTCTTCATCCCTCCCCCCCCCCCCCAACTGCATTTTCGGGTTTTGTATTGTAACGTGGAAACCATTTTGAAAGGTGCAGATGAGGGACTCTCTGTGAGTCCACAGAATGTAAATGATTTCCATCGTCCGTAGTTGCACCTCCTTGAATGTGGAAAGCAAGGTGGAAACAAGCAAGAGATGATGGATTTTAAGGGAAAGTGGGGTTGGGGGCTTCCCATTAAAAGGATGTGAGTATGAATGAAGGAGTTAAATTCCTATCTCTTCAGGGTTATTCTTTTTTCCTTGTGATTTTGGGTATGTGAAAATAGATGTGTGAAAACATATATAGGTTTATATATACAGATATATAATATGTATTAGCTTTTCATCTAATGTAACAAACACGTCCATGTTGCTCATGATAGTATGAGATTCCATGGATTGCCAGCTGCCCCAGACAAGGAAGTAATTGCCCCTGTACTGGTCAGTGTAACTTTTCTAAATTTTACTATGAAAATAAAACTGTAAAGAGTGCACTTGGTGTTTCACATCAGCTATTGAGTTGTTTTCTTTGGTTTTGCTAGAATAGGAATGCTGGATCCAAAGAGGAAAAATTATTTTGAAAACTACACAACACCAGATTCCATCTTTTCTTTAAATTCCTTGGTATAAAATATTACAACAAAGTTGTTACACTTTTAGTTCCTTAATTACTATCGAGATCTACTATTGTACCTTGTGAAAAACAGAAGTATGACCTAATGTGGATTTTCTCTTCAGGTCTTTATTTTTACATAAGAATTGGGATGTCTTTATAGGGAACTAATATTAACCGTGGACCTTTAGGTGTTTGCTTTTCCCCTTTCCTTGTTTCTCTGACCCTTTTGTTTTGCTATTGTATACTGTAAGTGGATTAACATTAGGCAACTGATATAGATTATTACTTTGTAAAGTCTAGAAAGTTAATATGTTGCCATAATGTCTTTCATATACTCTTTAATTCCATAAATCTTTATAGATTATGATAATGTGTAGTAAGAAACAAAGTTATTATTCTAATGAACCTTACATTATAGTAAGAGAATCAGATGATTTTTTAAAGTGACTACAATAAATTCACAGCACAAATAAAATTACATGGTTGTTATGAAGATGGAAAGAGACACTACTTCAGTAGGCTGGACAGGGAAAACTCTAGGAATAACATTTGATCTGGGACCTGAGTAACAAGAAGCTATCCATGAAAAGGTCTGTAGCAACACAAGTGTAATAATTTATTTTTAATTTTATATTTTGTTCTTATTATCTGTAGTATACTTTGCTCTCTGCTATCAATTACTGGATTGTTATTTATTACTGCACAACAAACCACTCAAAACTTTGTGGTATTTCAAAGCCCAGAGACACACAAGTTTATAGATGACAAGAGGAGATATGATGAAGGTAGGGAGGTCCCATAATGACCTACTACCACTTTTATCTAAATTGATATTCAGTATACCAAAGAATAATAATAGTCTAGGTAGTCTTTTCATCGACTTATGATAGTGCTATTATAAAATTTTATAAGAAATACAGTATTTGTCCCAATGGTAGAGCACTTGACTAAGTATGCATTCTCTTCTGTTGCAAGATATATCTATTTTGAGGCTAGTACCATACTATATTAATGGTTGCTTTTAATAAGTAGTAACAGTTAACCTTAGGATTAAATGATTTAGTGTATTTTATTTTTCACCTCATAATATTCCAGCCTAATTTTGAAGACTTTTTTCTGGTTATAAGAAAAGTTCCTTGGAATTTTATTGGGATTACACAAAAACTATTAATAAACTTAAGAGTTACCAGCATCTTTACAATATACATTTATCCTATCTAGAAATATGGGGTCTTGCTTATTTGCGTTTCGTTTTAAATTTTTCAGTAAAACTAGAGATGACACTAATTAAACTACTTCCTAAGTATTTATACCATTTGTTAAGTAATCTACTTTTAGTATGCATGAAATGTATATATATATTACATATGTGTCACTTAATACATATTACATATTCTAATCAGTTATTGCTGATATGCAGATCATAATTTGTAGGCAATGATTCTTTCATTACCTTAATAAAGATTTTTCATTATCTTTTTGTGTTTGTGCATGCCAGTTTGGGGGCTTGAACTCAGGACTTGAGTGCTGTCACTTAGCTTTTTTGCTCTTCTGACACTCTACCATTTAAGCTATATCTGTACTTTTGGCTTGTTGGAGGTTAATTGGAGATAAGAGTCTTATAGACTTTCTGATCTAGCTGGCTTCAAACTGTAATCTTCAGATCTCAGCCTACTGAGTAGCTAGGATTACAGACATGAGCCACCAACACCCTGTTTGTTTCATAATCTTAATGAAAATGTTGAAAATGTTTTGTTGATTTCACTTTTTACAATAATGTCTTTGAGTTATCTTTTTAGCTTCTCACAGTATTATTTCTCGAATTTCTTTTCCAGTTTATGCTATTGACCAATATTTTGTTATTAATATGAGGAGCAAGCAGCTTTTTTATTTTGTTTTTATTTTAAAATTAATGATTTTACCAATATGTAATTCATTGTGGAATTTCCTCAAAATCTACAATCTAAAAGCATATAAGCACTGGTAGTTCATATCTATAAACCTAGCTGTTTCGGAAGCTGAGATCCAGGATAGTGCCTTTTTTTTTTGTCAGTCGGGGGGCCTGAACTCTGGGCCTGGGCACAGTCCCTCAGCTCTTCAGCTCAAGGCTAGTGCTTTACCACTTGAGCCACAGCACCACTTCCAGCTGTTTCTGCTTATGTGGTGCTGAGGAATAGAACCCAGAGCTTCATTCATGCAAGACAAGAACTCTACCACTGAGCTACCTTCCCAGTCTGAGCATAGTGCTTTGAATCCAGCTGGGTCTGGAAAGCCCAGATGACTCATTTCTAATTAATCAGCAAAAACCACTCATCTCTAATTAAACACCAAAATTATCTCTACTAACTACTTATGGCTCAAGTGCTAGGTGCTAGCCTTAAAAGAACTTCAGAACAGAGGCCAGGAGTTCAAGCTCCAGGATTGATACAAAAAAGAAAAATCTAAGAACTACCCTATGAACCCATCTATCCCAACCCCATTCATCTCCTCAAGTTACTTGGTTCTAATTTCATGTATGTACTTTGACATTATGGCTGCGTTTGCCCTCCCTTTCTCTATTCATTTGCCCCCTTTCTCTAAACTTCTTCTACCTCCCCACAAAACACATTTTTTGTTTCTGGTATTCATTTTAAACTGTAAGTTAGTTGTTCAAGGAGTTATACCATTGGAACCCTCCCCTGTGTATATCAAACTTTAGTCAATTTTTGTATCTGCATATGGTCCTATATGTTTTCACACACACACACACACACACACACACACACACACACACACACACACACACACATTTAATTTAGACCTAACTTCCCACATACGGAAGAAAACGTGCCCTTTGTCTTTATTAGCCAGATTTATTTCACTTAACTTTTTCACAGCAAAGAACTTAGTTTCTAAGCTAAAAAGACAGACTACAGAATGAGAGATCTTTGCTAACTCTAAGATTCACAAGGATCTAATATCCAGAATACACAAAGAGCTCAAAAAACTAAATCCCCAAAGGATCAATAATTCAATTAATGAGCAAAGGAGCTGAATAGGGACTCTTCAGAAGAAGTAAAAATGTTCAGTAGACACATGAAGAAATGCTTAGTATCTCTGGCCATAAAGGAAATACAAAACATTGAGATTCTATCTCATCCTAGTAAGAATGGCCATGATTATAATATTAGCAACACAAATAATGACAGGGATATGAGAGAAAGAAACTATTACACTGTTGGTGGGAATTTAAACTGGTGCAACCAAATCTTGCACACGCATTTTCATTGCTGCGCTATTCACCATAACTAAGTTATGGAAACAAAAACAAAATAGATGCCCCACATGGAAGGATGGATAAAAAATTATACATCTAATCACACAAATTTTACTCATCCATCAGAAAAAAATAATCATATTGTTATGCTTTTCATTGAAACACTGCTTTGCAAGTGCAGGCTACAACCAACTTCATACCTAAAATAAGGACATGTAAGTAATTTTAAATCACCTTTCAGTATTGAAATGATTTCTATCAATTAAATCTATTTGTGATTTTTTGCTTAGAATTTCTAATTATAGCATGTGTTTAGACTAGAAATTTGTTACATTATTCACTAACTTGTTAAGTTATTCACCAAGTAAATTAAGATTTAACTTGGCTATAAAAGAGAAAACAGCATTTGGCTAATCAATATTGAGTAAACGTCTCTGGATTCCTTAATAAAACTTTTTACAGGTGACCCTCATTGTAATTGTCCATGCTGTTTTTACTGTTCTCTTTTTAACCCTTGTAAATAGTATATATTAGTTATACAGGAGATCCACTGTGATATTTATATACATGCTCAACATTGTATTTTTAAGTAAATTATTAAAGCTCAAATTTACAGAATGAGTGCAATGATAGGACAGACTTTCCTTCACCTAGTTTTTCTTCCTAACATCTTCTACTAGCTTTTCACCTTTATGAATTGTATTTATGAATATAGTTCTTTTTTGTTTCATGATCTATTTTTAATATCATATGCATTAGGTAAAATATTAATGATGAAAACACACTCTTGTGTATATTTAGAACCCTGATTATTATAGGATATTAACTTTAAAATTATAAACATATAATGACTTCATTTGATATATTTTACTTTTAGGTTTCAATAAACACAAAACTATATCACTG